ATTTGAAGGGCTGATTCAACTCTGATATTTCTTTGTTGATTTTTTTTTCCCTAGTTGATCTGTTTGTGACAATGGGGTACTGAGTTCCTTCACTGTAATTCTGGTGTTGATCTGATTTTTTTTTTATATCCAGTAGTGTTTGTTTTATGAAGTTGGGTGTACCCGTGTTAGTGCTTATGTGTTTATAATTTTTATCTCTTCCTGCTGAATTGATTCCTTAACTAATATGTAGTGATCTTTTGTGTTTCCTCATCAGTGTTCATTCGAAATACAGTTTATCTGAAATTAAAATAGCTAGTCCTTCTTTTTCCTGGTTCCCATTGCACTGAATATTGTTTTCTATCCTTTAATTATTAATTTTAATGATTAATTGTGAATTTCTTTTTGAATTAAATGTGTTTCTTGTCTACTGTGTATCATTGGGTTCTGTTTCTTGATCCATCCTGCCAATCTGTGTCTTCTGATTGGGGAATAGAGACCACTTACATTGAAAATTATTGCTGAAGATATTGATTTATCCTTATCATTGTATTATTTTTCCTGTTGTTGGTTGCTTTTTTTCCTCCTTAATTGCTTAACTACTTAACCTGCCGGGTGTATTCAATACTAGCTTTTTGGCATTGTTAGCACCATTGTTTCTTTTTAGGGTATCCTTAACACTTTTTTTGGAGTGCTGATGTTGGTCACGAATTTTTTTGAGGTACTCTTTGTCACAGAAATAACTTATTTTTCCATCAATTTTGAAGGAAAGTTTTGCAGGATATATAAGTCGTGATTGGAAGCTATTATACTTTAGGGCTTGAAATATTTCTCTCCAAGCCCTTCTCACCTTTCAAGTTTTTTACTGAGAAGTCTGCTGGGCTTACTTTTATAAGTGATTCATTGCTTTTCTCTAACCACTTTTTGGAGGAGTTGAGAGTTTGGGAAGCATTTTGTTGCTTTGTAGTCTTACGTTTCTGTTGGTTTTTGTTTATTTGTTTTGTGCTTAGGTTTGCCGGTTGCTTATACTGGAAAGATTTTGTTGCTAGCAGGCAGATCTCTTTAGTTAGTCTGCTCTTCAATGCTGTACTCTGGGTGTAGCTAACTATACTCCTTTGCCTCTGTCCCAAGATCCAATCATTTCTGTTAATTTAGGAGGGGAGCCAGGCATGGTGGCGCACGCCTATAATCCCAGCACTTGGGAGGCTGAGGCAGGAGGATCGTTGAGAGGTCAAGACCAGCCTGGGATACAAAGTGAGCTCAAGGCCAGCCTGAACTGCAGAGCGAGACCCTGTCTCAAAAAAAGACAAAAAATACCACAAAAAAGAAATTTAGGAGGGGAGGATGCAGTACAGTTGCCCAGCACCCAGTTTTCCAGAAATAGACTGCTTTATTGTTTATGTCACAAAGGTAAGCTGGGTGTGGCCATACAGAGAAAACCTATTAATAGAAATAGTTGTGTGACCCTGGATATATCAAGCCAATCAGCATCAGTAATATCATGCAGTACAAATTGGATGCTGACATACCATAAGAACTAATAATGTACATGCTACCCTTAATCATAGAAAATAAATCCACAATTGTAGCATAAACATCAAAACAACCCAGATACTGACATATAGCAAATATGTACTAAATGCAATATCTTCACTATATCTTCATTAATGATAGAAAAGAATTCAACAGTAATATCATAAACTTAACTATCTAAAGATTAATAAAGCTTAATGGTTATGCTATTAAAAATATACAGGATTAAGAATTGGAGAACACAAGAGGAAAAACTTTGAAAATTAAAGAGTGGGAGATGAGAAGGAGACAAATGATCCTGTTAAGAACTAGGGGGATATTTGTAGAATTAGATAAAGGTAACAGAAAAAAAAACTACAATTTAAAAGGAAAAAAAGGAGGAAAGAAGCAGAAAAAAGAAATAATATGAATAAAAATAAGAAAAAATTAAAAGAAAAACAAACTAGAAGTAAAATTCCTTGGATTCAATAAACAAGCAAAGAAGAAAGAGGAAAGGAGAAGTGAAGGGAGAGTTTAAGAGCAGAAAAAATTATCTATTTCTGAGTAAGTGGTTTCCTTTCTGGACCTACAGTTTTGGAGTTTGGCGGAGATTTCTTCAGCCAGCCTTATGGCCTGTGGGTTTGTGAGGTATCCCCTCACCCCATTCCAGTGCCTCCTGTTTACCCCAAACTGTGGGAATGTCTAAGCCAAGAAGCATCCCTGCTTGTGCTAGCTGGAAAGGAAGTCAATTAGACCCCAAATGCATACTGGATGCAGGGAGCAGGGTGAGGGCTCAAGTCCTCTATGCCTGTACTTTCAGCACAACTCAAGCTGGGCCTGGCCTCCCACAGCAGAGGTGGGGCTCCTGTCCTTTCTGGCTGGAGCTAAAACCCCTCAAGGGTCTCTTTCTAGCCTGCTCCCTTCCAGTGGCTGTCTCCTGTAGCTGTCTCTCATTCAGTCTCTATGGGAGGGTAACATTAGGAACCCTGAAGTGAAGCCATCCTGGCTGTTTTTTGTTTTTTTTTTCTTTCTTTCTTTTGGTCTTTTTGAGACAGGGTCTTGTTATACAGTTCAAGCTGGACTTGTGAGCACTTTGTAGCCCAGGCTGGTCTCCAACTTGCAACAATCCTCCTGCCTCAGCCTCCCAAGTGCTGGGGTTACAGGTGTGTGCTAACATGCCCGGCTCTTATCCTGGCTGTTTTGACTCTCAGATTCAAGCAACCCCTTCCTGGAATGGTGCCCAATCAAACGCTTTCCAGCAATATTGCTGGTGCCTGGGCTAGTATCCTTCTCTGGTTGTTGACTGCTGTGTAGGAGTCCCCTTGGAGCAAAACCTTGTGCTGTCCCTACCACAAAAACTGTGGGTTCACTTGGAGCCTACACTGGTGGCCCAGACTGAGCCTCCAAGTGTTTATCTTGGTTCTGCAGGGCCAGGCTCCCTTCCCCATGAGTGGTGAGCCAGAAGCTGGGGAGAGAGTCCAGGCTGTTTCATTCCCTTCTGTGCATTGTGGTCCATCTCTCGAACTTCTCTGTAGCTTTTAATTTTCCTATCTGTTCCTTCTTGATTCCTGGTGATCTACTTCTCTTTTTTTCTCCCCACACTTTTAATTTTCTTGTATCTTGGAGACACTGTAATTTTCCAGGTCTTGGAGAGACTGAATTTTATTGCCACTCACCACTCTGCCATCTTGATTCTTCAAGAAAGTATTTTATATTGATGGAATCTAAGTCAGGAAAAATGGTTTCCACAGACATTAAATTTTAATATATAAAGAAATCAGATTAATGGAAGATTAATTTACCTGAAATTTATGAGTCAATACATGTTTATTTAAACAATCTAAAGCATTAGAAATTTCTTGTTGTCTTTTTGAGACAGGGTTTCTCTATGTAGCTCAGGATGGCTGTAAACTTACTTTGTAGCCCAGGCTGGCTTCTATCTCACAGCACTCCTCCTGCTTCAGCTTCCCGAGCTTGGATTGCAGGTGTGCACCACCACACCTGGCCCTAAAGCATTTTAATGGCAAGAATGAAAGCTAACACTACAGCAATATCTTTCCTATGTTCTAGAAAACTGACAAGCACACTGTTCAAGTTTAGGACTAGCATTCACTTTAGAATTCAAATTCTAGCCAGACATGGTGGCACATGCCTGTAATTCCAGCGCTTGGGAGGCTGAGGCAGGAGGATTGCTGCAAGTTCGAGGCCAGCTTGGGCTACATAATGAGTTGAAGACCAGGCTGCACTACATAGTGAGACCCTGTCTCAAAAAAAAAAAACAAAATATAAAGACATTTAAAAATTTAAAAAAAACTTGTGATCTTTTCCTTATCTTTCTCTGTCTATATAAGAAATAAAAATGTAAAAAAGAAAACTTTGAAGACATTTCCCCATAACCTAAAAAAAAAGCTTTATAATTACACAGACTGTGTTTTCCTGCATCTTTCCAAATATTTATTTTTATTCATTTGAAAAACATGTTATTGATTGCCCACTGTGTGTCAGGAATGGAGTTGGCTGTTATGTATATAAGAGTGAAAACACACATATCTCTTTGCTGCAGAATTCAAGACCACATGAAATGGAAGACAACAGCACCAGAGCAATTTTGGAAGGCAGCTTTATTACTCTAGCGGGCTGGGGAACCCTGAGGTTCAAATCACCAGTCCCATTTTGAGGTTACCAATCACTTACACAGATTTTCAGAAGGAAGTACAAAAAGGCAGATAACATAAGATTTTATAGTTGGTTACACATGTCTTTATTAATTGCTTTGTTAAATTGCTAGGCAGAATTTACTCTTACAGGAACTAATAAGGTTAATATCATATAACATGGAGGAAAAAAATCTATCATTGTCTGAGACTGGGCAGAGGTGTCCTTGAGGCAATAACTCTCCGGGGCTTGAAAGAAAGCAAAACACCACTGTCTGACTAAGTGCACTCATCTTGCAGCGGGCTCTGGGCTTCCCAGCCTCATCCTGGAACAGTGTTAGAAATACACTAGTGTTAGAAATACAGGAGTAAATTTTTCATTACATTTAAAATACCCTCTATATCTTCTCAAGAGAGAAAGACAGACTTTCAGGTCAACTAAATATTGTGATGGGAATATATAAAGAAGTGATGCAAACATCTTGAGGGGAAAACTTACAGGAGAGTATGATTCAAGAGTTAAGTCTTTAATTCTGGAAAACTGAATAGAAGTTAAGTCAGCAAAGGAGAGGCAGAAAGGCCCCTTCAGAAGAAGAAAGGCTAATGTCAAAGTACAGAGGTATGAGAATACAGAACAGTGGAGAGCCTAGAGGTAATTCAGAAAGGCCACATGCTACAACAGTAACAGAAATGAAGCTATATGCAACAGTAGGCCACATCTCAGTTTAGATTTAGTCCTACAGGAGATGTGAACCCACTAACCGATCTGATGTAGAGTTAGGATAAGGTTGACATTTTAGATAGTTCTTTTGAGGTGGTCTGGAGAAAGGCTGATGTGCTGTCTTTGTTCCCCAGGTTCTTTTCCTGCCCTTCTCTGCCAAGTTTTGTATCTCTGGGTGTTGACTTCGGCTGCTTTAAGGATCACCTTGTGGTTAGGTTTTACCTACAAAAGGCCGAGGCAAGATTATGAGAAGCCAGGTAGAAAGTAAGTGGGGGCATTTTCTTTCCCTTTTTTCCTTGATGCCACATTTCCAGCAATGACTTCATCCTTCACGACTGTGGCTCCTGCTAGGTAGGCCTCGTTTCCATAGCTCTAGTATTTACTGGCTTCTAGTAACTGTTTTCTCCTTTTGTCTCTTAGTGTCTGCTCACAGTTGAGCTCTAAATGCCTCCTCATCTCTTGTTTGCTTATCACTGCTCACTCCTCTGTACCGGCCCTTGGATTAAAGTATTTTCATCTGAACTATTTTGGGTGAATTCTATGTCTTGCTAAGACCCTTATTGATATGTCTTGCTTAGGGAAATGAGCAGTGAAGAAAGGAAGTAAGGTAGAGATTGGAAGCAGGGAATATAGTTGGAAAATTTTTAGATGGAGCCAGAAAACATAAGGGCAGGAACCAATGCATTATCAGTGGAAATTAAGAAAAGTACGTAGACTGGAAAACATTAAATTATATTAAGACTTTAACAACAATAAAGCAGACAAAGTACCCCAACTGACCTTTTCACTAACAACCACTAAAAATGCTGGATAAAAGTGAGCTGCCATGTGAATTTACAGCCTGAAATTTCATTATCTGGATAGTTCATAAAAACACAGGTTGAAATTTGATTTAAAGTTGATACAGACTTGTCATACCTTTGGGTGCTTCGAGAAGTAAATATGCACCACTTTTTTTTAAAAAAAAGAACCCATCTTTATTCTGTTTTGAAGAAGCCTACATAGATAAATTTCAAAAAATAAGAACTCAGAAAATCGCAAAAGGCATGAAGACAGAAGGTACCAAAAGCAAGAGCCAACCAAAATAGCAGAATAAGACCCACAAAGACACAGGCTTTGGAATTATCAAATGGACAATATAAAATGAAAATAACATGTTAAAAAATAAAAGGAAGGCCTGGCCAGTGTGAGGTCCTGAGTTGGATTCCCCGTACTTAAATAAATGAATAAATAAATGTAAAAAAAAAAAAAAGGAAGAGTGGTCCAGAAGGGAAACCCCTCACTCAAAAATACTGATAATTTTTTCTGTTTTTAGATTCTCCCTTCACTTCTCCTTTCCTCTTTCTTCTTTGCTTCTTCTTTCCACTTGATTGGTTATATTTTTGCTAAAGTGAAATGTACTAAAATTTAAGGTAGATATACCTGTGACCTTTTTGACCAGGACCTTTTCATAAACACTGGATCACTATTATATTTTTCTACATGTCAATGAGGGGTACTCTACACTTTCTCTGGGACTTCCCAAGTTTATGAAGTTTCTACCACCCGACCACCGGAATTTTGAGATTGTTCATATTTTGCTTGTTAACAGCTCATTTCAAGCCATGAGCATCTGTAGTTTTTTTCTAAATGCTTCTACTTCACCTTCAAGAACATTTATTTAACCCTTTTAGAAAGGTCACAAAAATATTTTCTTCCAACTTTGGGAACTATCTTAACTTTCCCATTTCCTTTCATGTCTAAGGGAAGCTCGTTATTAAGAAACTATCTTCACCCAGGGGAGTGTTCATAAACTGACCAGCAAATCTCTCATAATTTAACAGCATTACTTTTCTATTATCCTTATTATTGTTCTAGTCTATATTTTTTCCTTTGGAGTGTTTGCTGCATTGTTAACTTAATATAGATTTTTTTTTCCTCCATTATTTCTTGCATTTGTCTTGGTGCACATATTTTCTCTCTTAGTGTCAAAATAAGGTGATGGTGAATTAGGAGTCCCTTCTGAGCTGAGAATACTTTTGTAATCTGGTAACCTTTGGCATGAAGCACATATCCTAGTGAATGATGGAGCACTTAAGAGTGATTCACCACTGAGCATTACAGAAAATAGGCTGAGGGGCTTAAAAATTCAAGGCAAGTTCCTTCTACTCAGCATGGTGTATATATTGTACTCTCACTTTTCTACCCCCTATTATGTGGTTAAGAGAGAGGAGATAATGATGGCTTCCTAAAGTTACCTATAATGCACTCAAAACTCTGTTAGGTGTAATGGTTTTAAAAGGTAGAATGAAAACACAGCTAGGAGATCAACACAAAAGGAATCATTTTCTGATGGAGACAGTGAGCCTGTGCTCCTCTTGATATACACACACGAAACTCCCATTAACTGTAATGGGAATTATGAGTGCCCCATTAAAGGGGCATCTACCCCCTAAAGGTGGTGGGAGGATACTCATTCTCCCTGAGAGTTTCTTGTGATTTAGTTTCTTGTGTTAGAATGAAATCTTGTATTTTTTAAAAAAGTTATTATTGGGAATTCTATATATTGTCTTTCAAATGTGTGGTATATAACAGCAATTACTATTTGGCAGGTAAAACAGACAATCCCCAAACCTATGAAAAGCACAAATCAGACCTAGATTGATTAATTTTCAGATTAGAAGCACTGACCTATACATATTCCTCTTTGGATCAATATTTATTCGACATTTAACCTCACTGACTTTTGGAAAATTTCAGGGTGGTTGAGACTTTGTACATTAACATGGAAATAAACTTCTCACTGTATGGAGTTGTTGATTAATAACATGCCCAGATTTTCACAATGGGGAAGAGCTGTGATTTTCTCGGTAGTCTTCCCAGTTATGTATGAATACAGAAATCCTGATCACTGGCAGACATTTAGCTTTTAAAATGTTGTCTATGTTTAAATATATGTATATGCATGTGTTTAAACATACACATGCATACTTACATAATGAGAAATATTTACACAAATGTAACCCTATCTCCAGAGCTCCCAAGCCATGTCCAAGTGCACTGGATAGCTTCAGGAGATCCTACAGGCACTTCAAATTCAGAACTGGATAATCCTCTTTCCCAGCAAGTCTCCTCTTCCTCTGTTCTCAGTTCACTAAAGGAAACCATTATTCCTTCACTTTTCCAAGCCACAATCCTACAAAATCATTCCATTTCAGATTTCATGTCCCCCACTATCGGTCCAATCTCCTGAACATTTTTTGGAGGCAACAGGAAAACACCTGTAGTGTTGTGGACAGATTCAGCAAGCATGAATTTAGCAACAGATCTAGGCAGATGCTCTACCTAAGAGGTGTGTGGCAGCAGGACATGTGATTCTGCCCACAGGGACTGATGATGATGAGATTCGACCAACATAGGCTCAGTCAGAAAACTAACAGATTACAGACACAAGATGGGGGATATATTCTTGGAATGGGGATGGAAGGACATAATCAAGCTTGTCCAAAAAAGACACCCATTTCTAGAAGTAAGATATAAGGTCAGAACTGGATGAGCAACAAACATCTTTCCTGGTACGTGGCACAGAGCTATGGATTCTATCACGGACCTGGCCAAGATCCCCACCTGCTTGTGTGAGGGGTACCACGAGAGGTTAAAGTAAGAAACAGAGAAGTTTAGTATTACAGGAAGGGCGGCTGGGAGGTCAGTGCCTCAGGATGGCAGAGAAACCTATAGCTCTGACATTTCCCTGGTTTTGGGGCTGCATTAACCTCAGAGGCAGGGACAGAAATGCAGGAGCAGGTGAGAGTTAGATGGTCCCAGCTTTCAGCTTCTAGACTTTGAGACCGAAGAGGTTATGACAGCCTCGTAACTCTGTCATCAACAGCCTTTTACCAGTTTAGTTTACTGCCTACAGTGTTTTTCTCTGAATAATTGCACAATTCAAAAGAACAATATTTGTGCCACATATTTGGCTATTCTCAGATGTATTCTAGGTTATCAAGGTACCTGGATAAAGACAGTAAATTGCAAGAGGGTATAATCCCATTTTGCCTCACCCGCCCTGTATCCCAGGCCTGAGAACAGTGTTTCTAGTCCATGGTGGGGACACAAGAAATAGTCATTGAGTTGTGACTGGATTGCTATGTAAACATAGTGGTCCTTGTTGTTTGGGGCCTGACAGATTTAGAATTCTAATAGTTCAGACATCACAAACTATAATCTTGCTTTTTACATTGTAACAAAGTAAACAGAAAATTAGCAGTGATTCCTAATATATTGTTTTCAAACTGCCTTACAGCAAAACATTTGGATGTATGTGCTACTTAGTAGTAAATTAATTTTTAACATCCATAGAGCTCACAGAATAATAACTGTACAGTAGGAAATAAATAGCCAAAGAAAAAAGTTTACAATAGGGTATACATAGCTAATCTGTGTGAAAATGTTCAATCTCAGAAGATATACAAATTTAAATGGAAATATAGTTTTACAATAAGTGAGAAACTATTTAAAACTTCTAGGTTTCAATACAAGGAGATATACTCTTACATGTTGTTAATAAGTATATATATATTGGCAGTCTTTAGGAAAATAATTTGCATTTATTATTATTATTATTATTATTATTATTATTACACTGGGAATTGAACCTAGGGCTTTTGCACTGAGCTACAGCTGTAACCCTTTTTATTTTTTCTTTTGATACATGAGCTTACTAAGGCACTAAGTTGCCCGGGCTGGGCTGAAACTGATGATTCTTCTGCCTCAGCCTCCCAAAGTCCTGGGGTTATAAGCACGTGACATCACATACAGCTAATCTGCAGTTCTGGGAAATTTTTCACCATTAAACAGTTTGTATAACGACTGAGAGTCCATCCTTAGAAAATAAATTATGAAAAATATTTCCAAGAATATATCATGGTGTTATTTATCATTATGATCAATTAGAAGTAATCCATATGGCTGACCATAGAGGATAACTGGAGTCAATTACAAGAGGTAATAAAATAGAAACTTTTAACTCACTAAAATTTGTATTTTTGAAATGTCTGAATGTGAGAAAATGGTAAATGAAAAAGAAGAATGTAAGTTTGGATACAGAATATTATTTCAATTACTTGCAAGCAAATAATTGAAGTTAGTGATTAATTCACCAAAATGTTCACAGTAGGTATTACTGGGTGTTAAGCCAGGAGAACCAAGAAAAGGACTTGACCAAGGGGAGTCACATGGTCCTGGAGGGAGCAGTCATGTGGGTAGGGAGTAAAAAACCCCACAGA